AAGGTGAAGCTCAGAGTCAGAAGCACTGGAGCCAATGAACTTGTCTTGAAGGAAGCCAGCATTACAGAAGTCTTGCCCAGCTCTGATTTTCCTTTTCAATCCCTTCACCTGAAAGGAAGGATACTTTGAAATTGAAGAGTTAGCACAACATGCCTTAACGTTCAGTTTATTACAAATGTCTTCAGCCATGTATGAACCAGTGTGACCCACCCTCATGACATCTCATAACTTCTATAGCTTGATACTATGAGTCAAAGGCTTTGTTGATTTTAGTAAAGCCATCTCAACTTAAAACTGGCTAAAGATATCGATCTTTAAGTTCAACAGCGTCTCTTGAAAGAAAGTAGTCAGATGGTAACATTTTGGTGAGTTATTCCCTTGAAGAAAACTGTACTATTGCGGTTTTATTTCCCATAGGTACCAGACGAAACAGGGAAGCAGCACTGCGTCATGGTTAATTGACTTGTATTAATACAGAGAATTCTTTCACAAGTAGCTCCTGTATCAGGAGAACTGGTAAGACTAGAAATTACTATGCCAAATCTCTGCTGTGTGTTTTTCCTTAAGCAGTTTTGTAATAGTGACTTGCAGAATGCATTTTAAAGAGATCTTGAAGTAGAAAGTATAGCAGAAACATTTTGGTTTCTTTGCAACTGTTTTCTGTCATGTAATAAAAAAAGAAGAGCCATTGTGTGTATAGCCCTGTTGACCCCTAATAGAAATTTGAGATAGTTGTCCAAGATAGTACCTGAAGTACCTCTAGAACTGCTTCTTTCTCAACACAGCTCTCCTAAAGAGAGGAAATGGGATCACTGTCTGATGTAAGCATCTAGCCTTTACAGAGACAAGTAAAGTTAAAATAAAATTTGTCCCCACTGTGCACTACAATGGGCAAGGACATCTTACAGATTTTTACTAAACTTCCTTCCATGCAGTGTCTGGCACAGCTGGAAGTGTCTTCATGCAGAAAATTAAAATCCTTGGAATGAAAACCAGCACTTTGCTGAAGCTCACAATGACACCATCAGCTTTGATGATATTAGTAGACTGGGTGACTGGTTTACATTAATTTTTCCGAAATTTCAGTGAATTTCTTATTACTGCAACTATATTGTTTTCACTGCTTAAGAAGTTGGTCACTTTTATCTCAAAAAGTTGGTTTGGAATTTAGTTGAACTATGTAATCAATTTCTTAGAAAAAAAAATTGATTTTTCTCTGATAAGTGGCAGCATTACATTCACTGCACTCTGTCTTTTATTGAAATTTCTATTATTGAAGTATGTATTTTCATAGCTTTTGTTAGCTTAGTTAAGAAGGCAGACTATAATACCACCAGCAAATTTATGAACAGTTGTACACACTTGAGAGAAGTTTAGAGGATGACATCCTTAAACCATATTTAGTAGCAGAGGAAATGTTTTTAAAAGCTCCTCATTTATCAGGAAAATATTATATGAATAGTGTTAGTAAAGTCATTAAAAACCTAGATTATCTAGTTAACAGTTTTGATATGGGTATCTGCTGATTATGTTAGTTTAGCAGCTATTCTGAACTTAAGTGTGGCTGTGCTGCTTGTGGCAAGTTTTTTTTTTTTTTTTTTTAATCTCTGGACACAGTAATGTCAGTATAGAGAACAAAAGCATGCTAAACTCTGGTATCCCAGTGTATATTTCTCCCTTGTGATCTGTCGTTGTGAAATGACACATGCGGGTGCTGCTGAAGCCTCTGCATGGCTCAGCCTGGCCCCTAGAGGCTTCTTGGGACACAGCCTCAGCTGCAGCCGAGTGCAAAGGGCACTTCAGTTTCGCTTTCGGAGGCGCCGAGGCAGAAAAACTCTTAATTTGTAGGTAAATCTTCAAACTAATCCTGCAGTCATTACTACACTTTAAATTACTCTTGGGGTTTTTTTGTCTTTGTTTTTTTACCTCACAATAACACAGGTGCCTCCAGACTCTCCAAATCTGTCCAGAACTTGAGCTGTGCCAAGGGTGACTTCTTCAGTTTGGGAATTATACAGAGCTCTCTCTCCATAGATCATTAAGGCATGATCCAGTAGGATTAACAGCATTAACAGCTTGATGCAATAATTAACAGGAAATTGCAACAAGCGAACTGCTGCCGATAACCACACACAGCTCAGCATGCTGTGGGAAAGGAGCAGCTGTGCCATCCTATTTAACAGAGAGCCTGAGACGCACAAACTCGACTCCTCCTGGGATAGGTGAATTGTTGCTGTCGATTTATTTATCTTGGTGCTGAACCCCTCTGCACATCAGGTAAGCTATTCCTAGACTTACACACTGCATATGTAGTCTGTTTTTCTGAGAAAAGGGATTTTGAATAATGTTTGACAGCGTTCCTTTCCTCAGTGTTTCTGGTAGCATGCAGTTAACTAGCAGGTGAATGTCTGTGTTTCAGGGAAGTCTATGGAAACATGAACCATACAGGGCCTTGGATAAAATCTTGTTTTAAGCCAGTAGCTCAACTAAAAGGACCTTTTAAATGAAAGCTTAAAATGAAACAAAAAAATTCTTTTGTCAAAACTAGAAAAACTATCTGAGATTCTCAGAGATCTGATTCCAGCTCACAGACTTTTATGGGACTTTCAGCCCAGAAAAAAGAGCAGAAGATAAACATTTTATTTTACCTCAGATGCACTCTGAGGTACAGACTCCTCAGAATGCAGTGCAGTGGGCAGGAGAAATTGTCTCTAAAAATCCAGCAGCACTCACTCCCTCATAACAGGAATATAATATTTTGCTGCGTTATTTGGGTGAAGTTGCCTACTCCCTTTCTTAGAGTAGGCAGCTGATGGAAGGTGCTTCCACAGTGCTCAATGCCCCCTCAGTGGCAGTTTTCCCTCTTCAAATCAGAGAGACCTGTCAGCATCTTGTTAAATTCCAGCTTTCCAAAAATTGGCATAATTGGCGAGGGTTTTAAAATATCTTTGATCACTTGAAGAGAATGGAGACTTGGAAACTAAAGAAAAGAGTCACTACTTAATTCATTCAATAATAACTATCTATAAAGGCCTTAAGGTAACTCAATCTGGAGCATAATTAGAGACAGAACTTGGTAGCAATCAATTTTTATCAGTCTCATTATTTCACACAAGCCTGGTCACACAAGTGCTGGTCTGGACTGGCATAGCCTCCAGTTTATATAACCACATCGATAATACAAAGATATTTCACACAGGTCAATGACATACAGATGTTTCATCAAGTTCTGTTAGAATTTTCTAACATTTCAGAGATGGGGAAAAAAAAGGCTTTGATGCATAAATAAAAAAAAATCAGATATTTTGCTGGGATGATTTTCTGGAATCAGATAGGGTGATCAAATATTGTTTGTGCTTTCTGGGGAAATAGAGGAGGTCCATTTCCCTTGCATCTGTTACATCTAGCCATACTAAGTGCCCTGTTAATTTCTGTTTCTCATATAAGTGTTCTTCTTAGTGCTATGTAGAATAAAACTAAAATAGGTTAATCATTAACTAATTATGCCAATAGCAGCTGAACAGTCTCATGTTTTCCCAGCTGTAAGTAATCTATACTCTGTTTTTTTGCTTTTTTGTAGGTACTGATATATTCCATATTGCTGAGTCTTCGAGAGGCAAATAAAAAATATGTATTTATTCCTCCTTTCCATTTTACCTTTGCTTTTGAAAGTCACTGGCACCAAAGATGTTATATTTGGTTATAATAATTTCACAGAATATCAAGTGGGTAACATGAACCTCATTCTCTCTGTCCCACATGGTGGGTCACTGGAACCTAAAGACATCCCAGATCGAGAGGCTGCCTGTTGGGATGAGAAGACATCCTCTTGTATTTTCTCTCATGACTGTCCTCCTGGAAGTATTCAAAATGCCATGAAATGCAAAGTGTCTACCAACCAAGACAGGTATACTATAGAAGTGGCTCAGGCTCTTGCTGAAGAAATCAACAAAATTACTGGTGGCTTCTTCCCACATATCATCATAAATCACCTACAGAGATTCAAGATGGATGCTAACAGGGAAAAGGAAGAAGCCTCCTTTGGAATTCCCCAAGCAGAACAGGCCTGGGAGGACTATATGGCATTTTTGACCACTGCAAAATCACAGATGTCAGGGGGCCTAATTCTGGATATCCACGGACAAGCGCATCCTGAAAGGTGGATAGAACTAGGTTACACACTTTCAAAAACGTCCCTTAACTCGGGTGGCTTTTCTGCATCAGATTCCTCAATTAGCCATCTGGCCAGTCAGCTGGTCAATGTGTCTTCTGAGATTTTGGTTTCAGGGAACAGAAGTTTGGGCAAATATATTGAAGGACAAAATAAGAGTTATGTTTGTGTGCCTTCTCCATCCAATCCTAGCCCAAATAATGGAAGCTATTATAGTGGTGGGTACATAACAAAGACTTTTGGTTCCCGGACTTCTGGCACCATTGATGCCATTCAGGTTGAGCTGCCCCAGTGGGTGAGGGCAGCTGAAGAGCGTCACAGATTTTGTAAAGCCCTGGCAAGGGCTGTAATGAAATTCTGGCAAGCTAACTACTGTAGCCAGCAGAAACACAATCTTCTGCCATGCTGAAAGAGGCTGTCCTGTTAAGATGCCTTTCCTTAACAGAGTAGTGATCTGGAACAATCAAACAACTCATTCACCTGGAATGTTGAAGTGCAGTATAAGTGTGGATGCTGGTAGAAAGAAACCATCCTGCAAAGGAATGCATCAACACAGAGGAAATCCACAGTTAATACCAACAAATCCAACCCAAAAATTAACACACACATTTGTACTAGACCCAGCCTTGAAATGACTGCTCTAAGATAAGTGGGTGCAAGCATCACTTGCCTGTGCTTAATTTCTTTCCAGTCTCATGATAAAAAACTGATCTTCTAATAAATTCTGTGCAATGCCTTAGTGGATTATCTGTTCAAATAAATTAAATGTCTCTGCTTTTCTTTTGACCTTTAAGAAAGATAGTTGGATAATATCACTGTAGAAAATGTTTGGGGCCAGGACCAGTTTCCATTTGGTGCTTATAAAGCCCTAGGGTTTGGAAGTAAACAGTAATGCTGAGCAGTGACGTGCAGTCTGATCTACCCCAGTTTTTTTTAATGTAATGAATTATGAAAAAAAGATCTGATAGCCCTTATAGCACTCTAACTTTGTCACACTTTAAATAGCATAACAATAAGGCAGTGACTGGGTGGAAGGCTGATAAAGATAGCACACACACATCATGTATTTTGGACAGTTTTCCTTACAGTATGATTCTCTCCTTTTCCTTCTGAAAGCTTCTCCATTATTTCACTCACTATAGGATTAAACACTTGATTTTTACTGGCAATAGTGCTACATTATGGATAGTTTCTGCACAGTGGAGAATATAGTGGCATGAATAGCCATGACTGCAAGTCAACTCCTAGAAAACATGGGCAATTAATAAAGAAAACTGAAGCGAGAAGGAAGCAAGACTGAAAAGGGTATAATTTGAAAATCAAGAACTACTGAAATCCTAGCACTGTTTAAAGTTTGGTAAAAAGAAATTATTGAGTAAATAGTCAGTTTTGAGGAAGTAAATAGTCAATTAATAAACTGAAGAGAAGTGGGATATCTCCATCTTGGTACTACAATAAAATAATTTAGGGTGTTTATTAGGGACAATGCCAAAGAGAAATATTACATTACGTATGATAAAACATAACACATATGAGCATCAAAATAAATGGGTAAGGATCTCTTTGAACCTGAACTGTGCATTTTTAATAGTCTTTGAAGAATGGGGCAATTTTTAGGTAACTGAAAGAGATTTTTGTAGCTTTCAAAATGATACAGGACTCAGAATTGCAAGAATGTTACCTTTCATACAGCTAACTGCTAAATCATGGGCCAGATGAAGTGAACAGAGGTAGTAAATGGCAGATCACACTTTATTTTGTGCCACTTGGTTTGTCAGACAAGTCTGATTTTAGTTTTGATCAAAATGTTGGCTAATGTGGTGGGCCAGGAAGTCACTGAGTGGCTGCGCAGTTTCTTACTTGCTTCCTTACTTCTCCCAGCGGGATGGAGATGTGGAAGAGCAGAAGTGAGAAAATTCTTGGGCCACAATGAAGACAGCCTAATAGGTGATGCAAAGCTGCATGTGCAAGCAAAGCAAAACAAGTAATTCAAGCACTGCTTACCGCCAGTAGACAGATGTTTGTTTAGCCACTTCCTGGGAAACAGGGCCTCAGCACACATAATGGGGAGACAACTTGGGATGACAAACACTATAACCATGAACACCTTGGTTCCCTCCCCCATTCCATGAAGATGTTATGTGGTACCTATACAGGTACATACATATACAGGTACATACCTGCCCCAGGTGTGTTCCTTCCCAGCTTACCCACTGGGTGTGGGAAAAAAAAGCACCTTCTTCTTGTGCTGGCATTGCTCAGCAATAGCCAAAACACTGGTGTGTTATCAACACTTTTATTTACTAATCCAGGACACTGCACCATAGAGGCTGCTATGGAGAAAATTACATTAATCCCTGCCAGATCTGGTACAGCTGATCATAAGGATTTTAAATATACTCTCACAAGATATTTTGCAGCTACCCTTCAATGCATCACAGCGTTGAAACAAGTTGAAGGCAGGTAAATAATTGCAAGTCATTGTATATTCAGTTCATGAGAAGAATGTCTTTTTAAGAAGGCCAGCAGATTAAACATCATTCAATACCAGTATTATAGAAAACCTGCTATTTCCCCCAAAATAGTAGGTAATAATATCACTAGATATATGCATTATCACTACTTATATGCATATGCAATTACCTTGTTTCTCACTAAGGTGAGACACTTGGCACCATTTGTATGCTTAGCCAAAGGATGAAAATGTGTTCTGTGCTCTGTGTCATGTTGTGACATTGTCCTGGAATGCTGAAATGCAAGAGAAGATTTGCAGAATCATGATGGATAATTAATTGAATATGAGTTCAGCAGGCACTTTTCTGGCTTAGGGGGTGAACACACTCTTTGAAAGCATAAGCAAGGAACGAACAGGCAGAGACAGCAGGGCATATTAACTCTTTGTTGACTTTATAATTAATCTGGCAGGAAAAAAAGCAGTGTAATATTCAATATCCAGAAGTTCAAAATGGACAAATTGAAGCAGAGAGGAAATCAGTGGTTTTGACATAGAGAGTAACTGTCAGCAAATATACATTAAGTCAAATGGGCTTTTCAATATCTAGTTATAGTCATACACTGGCTTTATTAGACTTTATTCCTTGCATGAAGGACTGGAATAGAAGATCTGTTTTCTATATGTTCTACTTAATAATGAAATAGATTTAAATGTAATTGAAAAGAAAAATAGAGAAAAAATAACAAAAGAAATCTGCTAATCCACTTAAATGAAGAAATGAAACTTTATTTATTGTCTTGACTCAAGTTTTCAATGGACTCTAGATCCTTTTCTCGTCCCTTGTGACTGGACTTCTCAGCTCTGATCCTATGAAGACCTTTAAAACATTTCAAGAACTAATTAACATACTAAGGTGAATAGACCAGACTGACAGCATTTTGTAACAGCAAAGATAAAAAATATCTTTTTGTGCACATAGCTTACAGAAAAAGTCTGATTTCATTTTGTTGTAAATCCATTGCAGTGCCATTGGCTTCAGAGTATTTTATTTTCTTTTTCAGGAAGAAAACAAAAGACAGATTTCCAAAGTACATGAATGGTCAGAAAAATAGCATGTGTGCCAACTATTTGAACACTGCTCCTGAGTTTTTTCTGACATGCTGTGATGCTGTATGTACAAAGATTAGGTCATATGTTTTGGAATGCAGAGCTGGAATGCAAAATATCCTATTAATCCCACATAAACAGCCATGTAGCATCTAACTGTGATCCAAGTTAGTTCTCTAGGTACCCTCTACAGAAAGGGATCAGCTCCTTTTCTAGGGGTGATTCTTTTCATCCTATGATATGTGGGATAGACAAGCCTTTGGAAAACTCTGATCTTGCTCCATAGAAGAAAAACCTAGGAAGCTTTGCTAGGCACCCTGCAATAGATCAGATCATTAATACCCATAAAATAGTACTCCCTTACAATACTCAAAGATTTGGGCAGATGGGAATCAATAGGCTGGGGCTGGTTAAAAGAATCCAGTCCGAGCAAAACATTAATGACATGAGGTTGAACAGGAGGAGTAAACATCTGCAATACTCACTGTTTGGCATGCTCACTTCAATTGGAGTCTCAAGCTTCCACCAAAGTTGAATTGGAGTTGGATAGGTAGTAATGCAAATCATGTTAGAAAATTAAATTGAGAAGCAGACAATTAACAGCAGAATATCAGTATGTCACTGTAATAGTGTACAAGTGCTAATGGCTTCTGAGCTATGAACACCACCACCACAGGTAGAAAACACTTGTGCTTACCTCATATATAGGAAGAAACCCAAATACTGCACCAGCCTCTTTGCTTTCAAACTCAATAGTTTCCATAGGTTTTTGCTGACCAAGGGAAGCCAAAGTGAGTGCATTAGTTGCGGAAGACAAAAGGTAATGAAGACATTCTTACTACAACTCCAAGAAAAGTTTTATATTCCCATGACTTTTAAGGTTAAAGCCAGGTAAAGATGGAAGAGTGCTACTGATATTCAATTAGAATTGTACAAAGTACATGAATGATGTACAAAGTGAAAATGAAATCTAACTCTCCTGTCTTCTGATTTCATAGGAACCCTGCAAGAACTATTGTATGCAACCAGGGATTCACTGTTATTCTAGTATTTTCACACATCCTTAGAGTAAACTTCGGATATTTAGGTTTTCTGTTGAAGTGGAGGAAAATGCTAGGGTTTCTTTTACATGTTTAAACCAGTGAATCAGTTTGTGCTGCCTTCTAGCTGAAATTTGACAATGTGAAAAATGAGAACGAAAATCACAGACATTTCTTAGATCCCTCTGTTTTTACATTTTTGTTCTATGTCCATTGAATGAGAAAGATTTATGGATATTATTTATGGATAATTTTTAAATGAGAAATATACAATTTTATTTCCTATATGTCACATGGAACATAAATTTATCATATATGTTTGCTACCTTTTCAGGAGCCAGAGCTCTGAAAAACTTATAGTTGTAAACTGCTTCCTCATCTCCATCCTTTTCTAAATCTGAAGGTGATCTGGTCAGTGACTTCAACCTGTATGTACAAGACAGAAAAATCCTGAAATTCCTATCAAAACAATAGGATATAAATATATGACAATATAAATGATAGGATATAAATATAAATTTATGACAATATAAATATATGACTCAAAATTAAATTATTTTGAACTATGCTACAAAATTAAATTATTTTGAAATATAAGTGATTTTATATATTTACAAAATATAATTTATATCAGAACCTTCATAGGTGTCATGGAATGCTTCACTAATATTTTGTCAATCCAGGCATGGCTGTCACCTGTAGAGGGCAGGAAATCTTAATATAAACACCATTCACAAGAGTCATGTGCTAACTCTCTGATAATGGCTTTTCAGCATTTCTTTAAGTTCTGACTAGAACACCTGAATGTGACCTTCATAACAAAGGTGTCCCCTGCTGATATGTCTGGTTTGCAAATTTAGTCATGAGAAGAAATTATCTGGAGTGTCTGTTAGTGCAGATTAACAGTTGCCTTTATAATCAGAAAAATAAGTCAGGTCACCCGAGCTAAGGATCTACAGGGAGAAACTGAGACCATTCTTCTATGTGACTCCATCTACCTGCTGGCATTTTTCAATCATTTTTCAAACTCCTGAGATGCTTGTTTAAACTGTAAGCACCTCTGCTGCTCAGATGGGTTTGTGCCTCTTCAAGTATGTGCACATTTGGGGAATATTTTCCCACACCTTTCTCCTGGAGAAGCTGGCTGGTCATGGCTTGGCTGGGTGCACTGTTTGCTGGGTAAAAAATGACTTGGATGGCCAGGCCCAGAGAGTGGTGATAAATGGAGTTAAATCCAGCTGGCACCCAGTCACAAGTGGTGTTTTCCAGGGCTTACTGATGGGCCCAGTTCTGTTTAATATCTTTATTGATGATCTGGACAAGGAGACTGAGTGCACCCACAGTAAGTTTGCAGATCACAGCAAGCTGGATGGGAATGTTAATCTGCTGGAAAGTGGGAAACCTCTGCAGGGAGATCTGGACAGGCTGGACCAATGGGCCAAGGCCAATGGTAAGAAGTTCAATAAGTCCAGGTGCCAGGTCCTGCCCCTGGGTCACAACAACCCCTGACAGCACTACAGGCTGGGGGCAGAGTGGCTGGAAAGCTGTCTCATGGAAAAGGGCCTGGATGTGCTGATCCACAGTGGCTGAACATGAGCCAGCCAGGTGGCCAAGAAGGAGAATGGCTCATAGTCACTAGCTCAGCTGGCTAGAGCATGGTGCTCATAATGCTAAAGTTGTACAGGTCATTCACTTAAGAATTTGACTCGATGATCCTTGTGGGTCCCTTCCAATTCAGAATATTCTGGGATATTCAAACTATGATATACAAATAGTGTGGCCAGCAGGACTATGGGTGATTGTTCTCCTATACTCAGCACTTGTAAGAGCACACTTTAAGTGCTGTGTCCAGTTCTGGGCCCCTCAATTCAGGAAGAATGTTGAGGTGCTGGAGTGAGTCCAGAGAAGGGCAACAGAACTGATGAAGGATTGAGATGGTAAGTCCTATGAGGAGCAGATGGAAGAGCTGAATCGGAGGCCTGAGAATAGGAAGCTCAGCGGAGACCTTATTGATCTCTACAACTGCCTGAAAGGAGGCTGTAGCCAGGTGGGGGTTGGCCTCTTCTCCCAGATGACAAGAGGACAAGTGCAAATGGTCTCAAGTTCCACCAGGGGAGGTTTAGATTAGATATCAGGAAAAATCTGTTTGCTGAAGGGGTAGTCAGGCATGGGAATTGGCTTCCCACGGAGGTGGTGGAGTCACTGTTCCCAAAAGTGTTCAAAAGGCATCTGGATATCGCACTTAAGGGATATGGTTTAGAAGTGAATATGGTGGTCCTTGGTTAATGTTGGACTCGATGATCTTAGACATATTTTCCAACCTTAATGATTTTATGATTCAATGAATATATATCTGTTAATAACACTTATGACATGATTTGTAATTGAGATCCTAAAACGTTATCTTGGTGATGAGTATCGTATGAGTTATCCAATAAGTGAATTATACTAGCATCACAAAGATAAGTGACTTTCTCCAAGACAATCTTGCAAAGTACAAAGCCTACCATCTGTAGTAACACAGCCTTCTGGATGATGGCTGGCTAGCTCTTCATTACAATATTTGGTACAGTTAATCCAGAGGAACCAAGTCACTCTTGAGGTGACAGCACTCTAAGTTTGTAGAATGATAAGACTGAAACTTTCTATTGCATGGAGTGTGGCTGCTTTTTTCCCCCAGTTCTCTACATAGTTAAGCATTTCTCATTTTCTTGCTCATTGTCTGTTTAGTTAACGTGTTTAAAATGTATGATAGCCATTCTCCTTTACTGAAATATTTGAAGAATCCTCAAAATAGTCACAGTTTGACACAGTCATGTAATTTATGGAAAGTTTCTTTCAGATTAGCTGACTCAATAATTATATCTTTGGTTCCAGAGGTTTCAGACTGGCTGCTGACTATTCAGAAGAACCACAGGGGTCGTTCAAACACAGCCAAGCACTTCTCTGTATTGATGAGTTACTGTTCTGACTGCAGTGACACTACTTATATCAGTAAGAACTCCATGGAATAAAAATTATTAGCAGGATACAAAATTAAATGGGGTAACAGTAAAGGACCCTAGAGATTTTCCATTGTCCCAAATTTCTTTGGTTGGAAGGCAGCCTAAGAATGGACATGATATATGAAAACTAACCACTAAACAATGCCTGACTTTTTAAGTCCTAAATATTTTTTCCATATTTGGATTGCTTTGTTACTTAAGACACTGTGTTTATTTCCTCTGAAGATGCCCTTTTCAATATTTCTGTTCGCTTGGTTAATCCACTAATTAATGAGCCAGAGTGTTCCAGGACTAGAAATATATACTTAAACTAACAGGCCAAGGCTCTCTGACTGAACTTGTAACTAACCCATCTCCCTTAAGAACTCTACCTAGAAGAAAAGCTCAACACTGCTATTGAACACACATTTATGCCAGTTTCAGAATGCCACGATCTGTGAATCCTCTATCCATGCATGTAAATGTATCCATAGCATCCCAGCAAGTTTAAGATGACCATTTCTTAAACTGAAAGATTAAATTTGGTTTATTCTTCTAGAAGGATTTGTGTTTTGCTCAAAACTATTCACATTAAGCTGTTCAGGTAACAGGCTGCTAACCTGAGCAGCATATGTAACATACAACCTCTAATTAGGCTAAAAGCTGAGACAAGTATCTAGTCATCACTATAACTGAGTTCAAACCTGGAACGTCACCTATTCCTGACTGTAACCAAGCCATAAAAAAGAAACTATTTATCCATACTGCATCAAAAACCAACTTTGAAAAGATTTTTCTGAATAACAAATAGTACTATTTTTTCAGACCTTCGGATGAAAGGTGTTTTTAAAGCGTATTTTCAAAACTGTTCCCCCAACCATACATGTATGCAAATGTATGAGATCTTACTTGTCTTTGTCCAGAATGAGAGGATATACAATCTTCTTCTTTTCCGTATGTTTGATCTCCTCTTTAATTACAGCAGAAAAGTCACTAACATCAGAAGGCAAAATCAACCGACTGGTATCTGTTAAGTCAAACTTCCTGGCTTGTCCAAAGAAACCAAAATAATATCCAGTCTTGGCATGCCAAAGCCTACAGACATAGTAGAAGCAGTGCAAAAGGACAGAAAAGAAAAATAGATATATTTAGAAGAGGAATAGAAGTGAGATAGTATTTGTGTACATTATCGAATTCCGCAGCACTGTTCTAGAGTTCTGTGTGCTAGTCATAAAAAACATCAATGAGATTGTTTTTATAATTTAAATAATTTGAGAGTGAAGAAAAAATCAGAAGGTTGTTGCAGAAGACAGAAAAAACCCCCAGTTCATGTTTATATTTCTGAAAATTAGGAGTAAATGTACAAAAATCCTGAATAGTTCCTGCAGTAAAGTGCTGCCACCAGAGCAGGATCTACACAAAATTTCTTCATTTAATACTTCCAGAAAAGCAAGAGAAACCCCTTCAAATGTATTTGTTAGCTGAGAAGGAATTATAGTTGTCTTTCAAGTATCTTCAAGCTTTCATGGTCTAATTGCATACACATTGATTAGATGCCATGCTTAGGATCCAAGTCAATTTAACAAGTACTGAAAGGTAAAATAGGATTAGAACAGGAGACAACTTTTAAAATTATGTAGGCATTACCTATATGTTCAAAGTAAAGCAAGGGCGGAAAGAAAATGACAGTCTGCAAAAGATCTGACTTCTAGAGAAGTGCTACATTAAAACCAGCTCTTTCAGGTGCAGAACAGAAAATGCACCCAGTGCATTTTATTTAAGTGCACTTTATTTAAGTTCTAGCCTAAGTTCTGCAAGTACAGCAAATAAAGGAACTTTGAAGACAGCTCAACTGATTTACCACAGCAGTAAGAAGTGTCAGTCATTTTATACCTGACTGAACCATCAACGGATGCTGTCGCTACCACATTTTTCTCCTCGTCAATAAATAAGTCAACCACTTCGGAAGAATGTGCCCTCCAGCAGAGCTCCTCCTTTATTGTCTGAGGGGAAAAAAAGCAACATAACCACATTTGAGGCAGTTCTGTACCCCACCATGGTTGCTAGCTGAGTGGATTTATCAGCATGTCTTTCTGAAAATTAGAAGAGGTGAAAAAATAATCCCTCCATGAAACAGCCTGCAAATGGCATATGGTAGAAACATTACCCAGGGAACATGGATAAATTCATTCTTAATATACCTTCTTTGAACATAATGAAATAATGCTAACACCATTTTACTTATGTTTTTCTTTTTTTTTTCTTTTCCACAGCACCAAATTATTATTTCAAGCACAAAATATTTATATGCAGAAAACATTTTTATCCCTGTAGAGCTCTGCATTATTTTTTTCTGTCTGTCTGGGTATACTGTTCAAGTTAAGAAGATCTGAGAGATAATTCCTTACATTTTTTATATTTCGTGAATCTTCTAAGAATGAGGCCATGTTCCAGCGAAAAATATATCCCTCTGTTGCAGAAAGGAGAAAGCAAAACATCAGTAAGTTTCTTTAGTGCTACACCTTCACTTGTTGCTGCCATTGACTCTCAGTAGACACTGGGCAGAATGAAGCAGAGAACACAGGTCAGTTAGTTTACAGTGAATATAACTATTTTATTGTCAAGCTCAGAGTAGAAATAAAGGACCGTTCATTAATATGCAAAGAAACATATGCAAGTTGTGAACAATGTGTCATGAATTGGATAGGTTTGAAATGGAAGTAAGGTAAATCTTTTTCTTTAAATTATGAGTGAAAAACAAGTCATCTCATCATGTCTATTGCACATCTGAGGTATGAGAGCTTCCTGGGGATTACACTGGTTTTCAACCCTGGTAAAATGGACAAAGTTTAATTAATTGTATACATAATGAATGCTTAATGTTTTACAACCTTTTAGGGCACTCATGTGAAACTAGAATCAAAGAACCACTTTCCTTATTACCCACAACTGGCCTAGACTCCCCCTCTCCTGATGAAGTTGCCTCCTACTTCTCATTTCTACTACAAGACAGAGGAATGTTTTGTGTAATTCCAACTTTCCTACCAGTCACATTTGATTTCTAGGACTGTACATTTGCAAGCAAGGGAGGCAGGCAGAGAAGCTGACCTTTTTATAACAAGGAAGAATTTTTAGAGGGGAAAGGAAATTGGTAGCAGCACTGCAGATAAAAGAGAAGAGTGTGGAAAGCATGAAAAGCAAATACACAGTGACACAAACACAAAAAGGCAAAGGGAGAGTATCAAATGAATAGGTAGTAGGGTGGATACTTTTCCACAATTAATTGAAATCCTGTTCAGTGCATGTGGCCTTTCTGAACTCATTTACTCATTTGAATCAGAGAGGAGTGGAAACTCCTCATCATTTTCAGTATAAAAGTCAAATTATTGCTCAATTTTGAAAGAAAAGGGAAAAAATCCCTTGCTCCATCCAATATCTGACCACATAGGAGCAGGAAGTTGTCAGAAAACAGTTTTAATACATATTTTAAAAGAAAAGTGACACATTATGATGGACACAGAAATGGAAAATTGCCAGGGTGATTCCAAAGGTTTGAAGAAGAATCAGACAGCAGATAAACATTCTGCCAAAGGAAAGTCAGATTTCATGTGAAATTAAAGATTTAGCAATGAGCTGCTAACATTGACAAGTGCTTTTCCTATACAGCTGTGTACTGCTGGAGCCATTACTGTGCACTCTGTATGAGTGTTTGAATCACAGCTCTTGGTACACCCCAAGATGCAACTTTTTATTTAGTATTATTACCATGGAATTGAAATTTTTGCTTGTTCTTAGTAGTAATCTTTGCCCTTGCGATCAATATCATAATTTAGATGGAAAGTATATTCAGGGCATATGAATGAAGAAAATTTTAATGTCTTTTATGAAAACAATTCTACTGATAACACTGCAACACTAACCTTTAATCTACTATCCTTTTATAAAACACTTTTTACAATCATTTAATTATAGCTTTGATGGAGAAAACCTGGCAGCACTTGGATCATCATTTCCACATTTCTGGCACATTTGCACCATGATATTTTCTTGTCCTACTGACTGTCCTGAACAAAATGACTAATATGTTTACTCACCTTTAGTGCCTGTCAAAAGAATTTTAGTGAAGAAGTCTGTACACAGTACTGTCAGAGGACCTGAGGGACGTCCTGCAAATGGCAGAAGTTCTTTCATCAAGTTTCCCTAAAACAAACAAACAAACAAACAAACAAACAAACAAACAAACAAACAAACAAAGTTTATATTATAATACCTACTTATTAACCAACTCATCAGAATTTGAGTGCCATTGATTTTATCTATTCAAAATTACTGAGCTCATATCTATTCAGAAAGCTGCTAAGAAGGTAAATTCCTAAATCTACTGAGTGACGAAAATAGCTGTGTATTATTCTGGATTGCTGTCTCTTGTACACTGAAAGGACAAGCTCTTTAATTCTTCAGGCAAGTCAGTCTAGTTGCACCTACCCCTACTTCACCACTTACCCCTCATTTGCTATGGAATAGCATTAGCATGCCCCTAATTTGCTGCTGAAATACTGGTTTTTGCTGCAAATGGGCCCATAATGTCTCCTTCACCAACTTGTTCTAAGTTAGCACCAGCAGACTTCCTCCATTATTGCCTCTTCAGGACTGGGAGGGTGTGATGGAGAATGTCTTGCTGATAAGGAGATTCTTACTTTGTCACCCATGTAATGATGATGACAATCATTCCAATGATGATACCACTGGCATATGAATTTGGAGATTGCTGTAAGAATCTAAGCACACTAATATATCAACTGTGAAGAAAACAGAACCCAGCAAAGCTCACAACTACAATACTTAGATACATTTACCATAATTTTTGCATACAGCATCTGCAAGATTACCTTCACCATCTTTCTTCACACGGAAAAAAATTCTTCCCATGACTTGCTTTAGCTGGGATTCCTGTTAAAGCCTGACTTTTTATGACCACTGTCTGTCACAATGAGCAATATTACCAATCAACCAATAATATCATGGTATTTTCCCTTCTTGCTGTATTTACTTTGTGTATCTTATTTAGAGTAACATGCCTGGAAAAGTCTTCTAGATCTGAGGTGATATGACAAATAAGCCTTTGCCATTTGGTTGCATGATGGGCTTTTCAAGCCCATAACAGCTGGAGATGTTCTGTGTTAGGACTATATTCTAACAAACCAGGACACTATTCTCTCCTGGTTTGTTACCCTACTAGTGCTAACTGGCATTATTTTCCAGACATATTTAGTCTTTTCTGACAGTAGGATACTCTGCCTTGCCTATCATCCTGTCTTAGAAGGTAAATGTTATGGGCAAATAATCAAATTCTAGACTTTCACAAAAATTTAGAATTTGTTTTAATTACTTGAAGTCATGTTTCCTTGTTTTCTGCTTGCCATTAAGCCCTGCTGCAGTTACTAAAGCAGAACTAATTTGTGTCCATGGAAGAAACTGATAACCAAAAGATGCAATAAATATCTGCTGCTGCAATTGCTAGTTAAGGGGCAATTTTCCAAAGATTACTGGAATTATCTTCTCAGTGTTCCAGTCCCTTCCCAAAGACATTCACTTGGCTACCTGACTACTCCACAGGCGGATACAGCCACTTTCATGAGCAGAAGCCATTAGAGGGGATAGTCCCGCTTTAGCCTTCAACAATTGTTCATTCACCTCCGGATCCTGGGTGTCCTTACAGGTGGTTGTTTCTTCTGCTTTGGAACACAAATGATCATATATTTTCTCAAAAGGTTTTAGTATTGCTTTTCAATGCACAGAAATTACATAACACTAGAAAAATAATTACATTTGAAAATAAAGCCCATCATCAAGATGGCATTACTCTAAAAACATTAGAGGCATAGATAAAGATAAATGAAAAGAAATGGGAACAATCTTCATTATCTTATCTAAACCAGCCAGAACTGTTGCTCAGTGATGTAGGGGAAACTTAATTAGAAGAGAGCCATTTTAAAGGATTTTACAGATTTTACAGGAACTGCAAGCACAAGTGAGAGTGGAGGAGGAGTGCAGGACATCAGGACAGTGGTCATCAGGGCAGCTACCAGGCAGATGTGCAGCCTCTGCATGAGGCTTCTAGAGATAACAATGAATTCAGCAATAAAATTTAATAATGACATGACACAACACTTCTGGAATCATAGATTTCTACACTTATTTCTCCAATTGAAAACTTTTGCTAGAGGCAAGGGGATGATCACAGAGACCCATTCTGAGCTTCTGCTGTGACTTTTCCAGAGCTGGAGATGCTGGCAGGACCTTCATAGACATTCAGTGGACACAAGACATAGCATGAGTGTCTATTTAACTGGGCAACAAGGCTTAGGAATATTCTAGTTTTAGGGCATGCTTTTCCCCCCAAATAAATTGATCTTAAGTCCATATGGCAGATGATCAAATTTCTTATTATTGGGAAATTCTGCTTTTCAGCAGAGGATTTCTAAGGGATTCAGAAGAATCTAGAGGATTTATTTCTTGCAAATTCACCAACTCATTTCCACAGCTTTAACTCAGGCTCTCTCTTGATTATGATTTTTTTAAGGACAGACACCATAATGAAGAATTTTCTTTCAAAAATTTCACCTAGTTTCACAGCTTTTGCCTTTGAGCCCATTTATTGATGCTTGACTCAAGTTGGCTCTTGCTATATTATTTCAATAATTCATTGCTTGAATATTTATGTAGAAGAAAAGTGTGTATAGTTGACATTCCCAAACTCTGAAAGTGTTATCATGTCAATTTGGAGAAAAAAGGCAATTAAAGTCTTGCATATCCTGCATCTTGGCCTGGCTTTTGGGAAATAATTGCAAGTTAGGAGGGAGAAGAAGATGATGAGATCTATCATCCACATACCAAAAATATCCCAATTGCTCTAAACAGTGTTTGCCAGAGAAACTGACAAACTCGTTTTCTATAATAATCTGGGCAGAACTCATGGATCAACATCAAAAAGAATGAAAAACATTTTTCTGTACCTGTTTTTATTTCAGTATTAATTTCATCATTTTTTTCAGTATTAATTTCATCACTCTTTTCAGTATTAATTTCATCATTTTTTTCAGTATTAATTTCATCACTTTTTTCAGTATTAATTTCATCACTTTCCACATTTTTCTAAAAGAAACAAATAAAATATAAGAGAATTAGGAAGTGGAATTTGGATGTAACTACAGAACAGTTCACTGGTTGAAATTATTATAAGAACTTATGTTTTTAGTTTGATTATTCAAATATTCCTCCAATTTCCACTGAGTGTAAAGAAGAAACACTTTTTTGAAGAGAATCAACAGGTGAACAAATCAAAACCAAAATTAATGGGAATTAAGGAGCATGTTAAATGTCAATTTGGCTCAATAGCCCTAATTTCTCAAGACAAGGAATATCAGTCACTTGTGAATGTAACCAAGATCTCTTTGAGAATGTCATTCAGAACATGCATATAGTCTTGTTACTGCATTGAGCAAAAATTAACAAAGTTTAAAAACACATTTATGCATATATAAACATTTACTCATGTCTGCATTTTCAGTAAGAGAATTTTCAGAAATCCTCATTTGTGCCTTGCTACAGGCTTCTGAGGATCTCCAAGGCTGACAGTAATCAGCATACTGACCTCAGAAATTGCCAAGTCAAATAAGGCAGGGAAAACTCTGCGGCCTCGAGTGTTTGAGGTATGTCAGAAAGAGGACAAGCCACTTAAATCTCATCCTACACATTTATGTGTAAGGCTTAATGTATGTGACTTCCAGGGATTTTTTTAAAGACTGAAAATCACTTTCCGTTTGCTATTCTAATGCACAGTGTATTGGATACTTTAGTTTGTAGATGGCAATTAAGTCAGAGTTTGCTTGGGAACCCATCCAAGTGCCATGTTCTGCTGAAACAACATGCTGGTAAGAATCTGAGAGGCAGCAGGATTTTCCTCTTTTTGCCTACTTAATTTTTATTGCTCTGCAAGTATGGCATGTCCTTCTGGCATAGAAAGGCAAAAAAATGTCACAAAACCCATAACGCTATCCTTAGCAAAGACATAAAAAATACGCAGATTGAGACACTGATACAGTGACGGTAAAAAAAAAAAAAAAAAAGAGATACTTTCATTTGAAAGAATGTATCCAAGCAAGTGTGGCTGCAATGTTGAAGTGGTTCTGCTATTATTCAATGTTATTCAAGTACTTCATGATTTGTCTATTTTACCTTCCCCCCTGAATCCTTGTATACCCCCATTTGAAAGTCAGAATTGCTACTGATAAGTATCTGTCAAACACTTTGATAGTTAGCTATTCCATGTGTCACAGAGCCAGCTGACTAACAAAGGATTCTTAATGCATGCACTGTGACAGTCAGTTTACAAAACTAAAAAAAGCTTTGTTAATTATTCATAATTATTCATAATTCTTAATTATTATTTTCTTCATAACTTGTTCCTAATTCATCATTCTAAATTCTTTAATATTCTTGATTTTAGTTTTGCGGATGGTGTTAGGGAGTTATTTTAGTAAGTTGCAGTATTTTAAAATCAAAACCAAAAAGAAATCAGAAATTTGTTTTGAATGCTACCAAATCCATCAAACCAGCATACCTACCTCATGTAGGTCTGAAGAACTTTCCTTGTGCTCTGCAATGGCACCGGCATCACTCCTCACAGAATGAGCAGAGGACATGGAAATTCTTTTCCTGTGTGAAAGAAAGTATTGAAGATCACTGATATTCTTGAAAATACTATTTGATACCTGGAAATCAACATCACCCAGCATTAAAAAGCATAATAAAATAGTACTTAAACTGATTAGACTAATTAGACTAAGGCTTATTGGTTTTAAATATTTTTCTAAGTAACTAGGCAATATTTGCATATTATACAGCCAGCCTCTCCTGGCAGGAGTTTTGAGCTAATGGAATCCATAGTAATTGAAAAGTAACATTGGTATTCATCCTTAGGGCACAAAAGGGAAAAATTAACTGCCTGCCAATGGCTTTTTCCCTTTCATTTTACACAGTACTTACTCTGCAAATAGTTTTCAATTAATCAAAAAAACTTATTTTAAAAGTGTTATGAAAACTCTCAATAATGCAGTTTTGTGGAAGAAAATAATGAAAAAAATGGATGTGATCTGCAATGGTTTTGTTTCTGAGTCATGAAAAATTCTGACTGTGTTAATAAGTGATTCTTTCCACATAACACACTAGCGTCACTGCTGCTCTGCTTTTGGCAAGAGTATCTGAATAACTGGGAGAGTTAGAAACTATGCAGCTGATATCAAGTTGCATAAGCTTCTTGAAGATTTTAAAGCAACATAAGGCCATAAAGCAGCTTTATGGTTCATAAGAGCAAAAAAGCTGTCAAATTGCTAAAAACTTAAAGCTGCATAGATATTTAAACCATACTCAATCCTTTTGGCTACCACTGCCTTTGCATATCCATGGGAAGACAAGTGTTTCTGAAGTGAGGTACAGGTGCAATGCCTTTCTTTCAAAATGAGCATATTTAGCTAAAATTCTGTTTTTATTCAATACTATCAATCTATGGAAGCTTCTAACTTGTTTTAAGAGGAATCTTGTGGCTACACACTTTGATGTGCTTGCCTCTTTGCTGAGAGTGCCTAAAAGCAGGAGGATTTTATCAGGTTTAAAATAAAGAAAAAGTCTGCTGCCCTGCCACAAAATAGAGATAAAAGAAGCTATGGTACACTGGAAAACTGATACTGGGCAAAAGCTACCTTCTGTTGAATTCTTCAACATAACTGAGACTTATGAGACCGTTTAGAGAAAAAGGGGAGAGCTGAGTGGAAAAAATAACATATTGTATTTTTTGACACACATTATGAAAGTTTAAGACTTGGAAAATTAATTAACAGTATAGACTTGAATTGATTAATTACAAATAAAATCGTAATTGAAATAATCTATTTTGGAGAAACATTGCATCATTTTTATACAACAAAATACCAAATTACTGTGCCAAGGAAGATAAAATGCACAGTTACCTGGAAGAGGAAACACTACGTACAAGGAATAATATGGCATTGACTCCAGAGCCCTCATTGTCTTCAGCAGTTATACGCCTGAAAACAAAGATATTTGTACAGAATATATCAGATAGATTGTATATTTTCCCAGAAAATGTTTCACATTTAACTTGTAATTAAAATAAAATTAAAATTTTAATTTCCCAGAATGCATGCCACCTAAAGTTGTAGACAGTTTTTCAGAATCAGTTAATCAGTTATGATGGTTTAATGTCAGTGGGCAAGACATACAGAATGTGCCTGTCACAGGAAAAACAGGTACCTGATGGAATGATGAAAATTTCATTCAGCCAAGTATTTTCTTGAAGATGAATTTTTAAGAGGAAAGTGAAGTAACTTAACTAAGTTAATGTTAGTAATGTACCTTTTTCCTGGCACTCAAACAGTGATGTGAATCCTGGGTAAAGTACTCTACTAACATTCACCTTCCTGTCTTCCATGCATTAATATGAATTGGCTGCCTCATATATGCGGAAGCAAATATAAAGAAAGAGCCACTTCTGAATCATCTGAACTGCAGTAAAGTTTTGATTATTTTTCATGGTACAGAAAACTTGTCTCGCTTTCTCACAAACTTGCCAATTTTGCTCATGAAGGATGAAGTGAAACTTGGGTAGGATAGTTAAATATTGACTTTGTATGGTCCTAAAAGACATGTATTCCTTCACTAACACAGGAATACTGCTATGCTGCTCCACTCAGTCTAACTTGACATATTGCCATTGTTCAGCTTACTGATGTAGCAGCTTAATGGGGATAAGAATATCTGGAACCATCCTGTGATCACTCTTTGTAACTTTCTCTGAAAGATCTTTACTCTCAAACCTCCAAAATCACATCAGGTTTCTCCTCATTGAATGTGACTTCTAGTCTTGTAGGTATGGACAGTGATTGAGATATTGATAATGTAAATTGAGATACTGATAATGATAATGTAGAACATCTGCAATTATCATCTGAAGTAGCATTAGTTCCAAATGTCCTCCCAAACACAAAACTTCCAAAGTAAGGATGTCAGTAGCAGCCTCTAGTCCATGACTAGAGTGATTTACATAGTGAGAGCTTCCTTCAATGGCAGTGCTGAGTTATATTAAAACATTATTTTTAGTTACATCATCCCTTTCCCAAGTGACCCTCCTGATCACTTCTCCTACCTGCAATGTCAGGACTAGCTAGCAAAGTAATTTGAACTGGGATGGAGGAGGGCCCACATAAATTGCTACTTTAATTCCTGCTTGTAAATCACCCTTTATATTTGGGCATATTGGAATTTCTAGTATGCCATTGAAAAGTTTGTGTGACATACTGGAGATCAAAAGGCATGAAAGTAGTACTTACAGGCATGTCACAGAGGCAGATTCAAAATCCCACAAATTTATTTCACCATTTGCACTTCCTGTAACTATTGATCTGCCTCCTTCCCCTTGTAAAACATCAAAACACTTAATATCCACAGAAGATAAAAAAGTCTACAAAAAAGATTAAAAGAAAAAAATGAGTAGGAGTAAGAGTAGGACACCATAGACAGTGAAATATTTTAACTGGTAATAGAAAAAATGCCTAAATTGACAATGTCTACAACAACTGCATATGGGATGCTATTTTAATACTATTGTATTTAAACTATATAGAAGCACCAGAGGAAAGAGGAAGTGAAAGTATTGGGAGACTCCCTGCTGCAGAGGACAGGAGCCTCCAACCTGACCTGCTTATTACAGCACAGTTGCAATTTGAACATTTAAAAACAAGTGTAAGGGCTGAAGATTAATCATGAATAGGTATCTGTGGAGATATTCTAATCAAGTTAAAGGAACAAGTCATTGAACAGAGATATAATGACCTTTCCATGAACACCATCCACACCTGTTACAAAGTTAGTGAAATTTTACAAGACAGAACTTAAGTCTTGTGGACTACTCAAGTTAAATTGAAACACAAATTTGCCATTTTATTTTATTGAAGCAGTAAGAGGAGAAAATGGAATCACTCAGCTTGATCTGACCGTGCCACTACTACTAAAGGTCAGCCTAGCTATAGGAGGAAAGACATGCCATTTCTAGAGGTGTTTATGTGAGACCCTCAACTTACTATATTGTACAGGAATGTGAAGTTTATGTCCAGAGAAACTCCTTAATTATGGTGATAACCATGCAATGGACTTCTAGGAAGAGATAGCCCTTAGAAACATGATTTATTCTGCGCATTTATTTCAGTATACTGAAAAGTTTGGAATCACAGAATCATAGAACGTGTAAGGTTGTAAGGGACCACAGTGAAGAATAATTATTTGGTTATTGTCCTGTGGCTAAAACATGAAATACTTGTGAGCACTGTAAACATTTTACTTTCTAATCTTCTGTAAATGTTGTGAAACTTTGAAGTGTTTCTCACCTCTTTATCATTTCTCATGGAACTGGTGTTACATAGAAGCCGAATGTCTGGAAAAAAATATTGTGTTTCTAAGAGGGAAGGCTTCAGTGACAGATACACAACTGGATTCCTTTGTGGAAATGGTATTATCTCAGGAAGCATCCACGTGACATAAAGATCTCTTTGAGCTGAGTCACCCTATTAAAATAACCAACTTAATGAAAGAGGAAGGAAAGAATTTCTCTATTCATAATTATAGTAAGTGTGTATGAAAAGCTTGTTTTCTTTGACAAATTACAAAAACTGTTACAGGTATTAACTAGCATATGCCTAAACTGCAAACTGAGGCTTCATCTAGACATATTCCAGCTCCCCCTAAATTACCTGCTGTTAAATTAGAAGCTGTGCAGCTGTGGAATTCAGAGCTATTGATTTTACTCATTTTAACTACCTCTTTAAAGTAAGTTGTCTCCTTAGTTTTAGGTGCTTATTTATCAAACATTGTTACTCTCCATTTCATATCTACCAAAACATCCAGCAAAAGTGACGGTTGTTGCAGTTGTCTGAGAAGAGAAGCTACAGCTCAGCTAAAGCCCTGAGTCTCTGATCCCTCCCCATCGTGCCTAGAGGCATTGATACTTTTCCAACTATAACAGATTCACTCCAGTATCTAGTTCCTGCTCTAACATTGACATTTCTGTCCATTTTGAGAAGTGTTACTGAAATCAGCTCCTTAGGTTTGCTACTGTTTTCATAGATGTCTTGAGCTGCAGAATGAAGTCATAATTAAGATTTTAGTAAATCTTATGCTATTGAGTTATTCAAACAAGAAATACCTTTAGGAAAGGACTAAAAATTGAGAGATCTGTAGTTGAGTCCTGCAAAGGATCAACTGTTTTAGGCTGCTACTCACATTTACCTTGCTAACTACTATATTTAAAGACTTTAAAAAAAGCTAATAATAAAACAACCTGTATTTCTCATTGTCACAGAAATGTTTGTGGAAAAATGTAGTTCTGCAAGTATGTGAAACAGTATTAATCTACTTAGCTTCGTAAAGACTTGGAGGAGATTCAACTCCTCACCAATCTGTTTGTCAAGGGATACATTTACATCATTTACACTTAATGGATTGTTAAATCATTTCAGTAATAAGACTGAGGAGCAGAGTAAGTAATGTGATGGAGTATTTCAAAACAGTCAGAACAACAGAAGAAAACCCTGTGTAAAGCAGCTTTTCCTTAGCAGGCTCAAAAGAATATATTATTTATGGAGATGAGAGCCTGTATATTTCTTTTTACTCTCAAATATATCATCTGTCTAAACTCATATTTTCTACCTTGCACACAGCTGCTTTAAAGTTTCAGAATTTTGTTCTAAGTTTAAAATTCCAATTTGAGGAATGTAATTTCACAGAAATAAGGTTTGTCTGAGAAGTTAAACCATAATTATTCTAAGCTGTGAATGCATCCTGTTAGTTTTAGCTGAAAGGAACACAGAGTAGATGCTCAAAATCAAGCCAAGCAAGTCAATCTGATGTATTACTGCCTTGTTTCTTGGTATCAGCTCCTAAGAATCCAGTGTCTTAATCTATTAATTTAAAAAAAAGTATACTTTCATCAAAATATCATCTTAAGAAGCTCTTTATCTGTAGTAACAACAGTAATATTTTAAAGCTGCTACCTCAAAGGATCTGCAACTATTGAAACCTCAATCACAAATGAAAAAGCAAACTCGAGGAAAAAAATTATGAGAATGCTGGAAACCAGTGATGGACTAACAAACATTTTAGCACTAGACAGAAGGGCAAAAAGCTAAGTTGATTACATTGAAAAAATAGATTGTTCCTTGACAGTTTCTATAAGTTTATCTACTAATTAATAAAAAAGTCCTATTTTACCTCAGAAATGAGGGGCTACCTAATGAAATTAGTGGGGAAAAAGGAAGCATATTTCAAAAACCTGAATGATTTTTATCTTCCCTCTCTGTTCCAAAACAATAACTGCATGTTGACCCTCATCAGCCTTCAGATATACTATCTTCAGCACACGATGCTCATCATCACTGTCTTGTGTTAAAGGCAAGCCTTTAACTTCTTGTCCGCTTTCAAACTCCCAGATTTTCACTGTTCCTACACAGAGATGACAAAAATGTAGAAAAGGGAATGAACTTTAAGCAATAAACTGTGCTGCAAATCCAGAATCTTAAATAAGACCAAACAGGGAAAAGAGAAAGAAAGAGAAAATCCAATTTGATATCTAGAGCTAGGTCACTGGTCTTTCAAAAATTGTAACTGTGTGTTTCTTAGCAAAGCAGCTGTAGGGCCAAACAAACTTAACAGAAAACATCACTACCCTCTCAATTTTTCCATCTTTTATTCCATGTCTATTTTTTTGTGCAGCCCAGGAGAAAAGATCTCTGCTTATCTTACTTCTTACAGTTTCTGAATAACATTATCAGAGAGCAGAGTGTGGACTATCTGGCAGAAGACTTTGGGCTCTGAGTGACAGCAATGAGCAGAGGGACCTGATTGATGGATTTACCCCAGAGAGCTACTGGGGAGAAGGAGCTACAGAGTTTTCTTAAGTAAAGCAATTAGTTACATGTGACTTTTCTTTTGTAAGACTTGACAACATTCACCTTCTGTAGTGGTCTTAAGATCCATAAAGGGTGTAGTCTCTGTTTCCAGGTAGAAACAAAAAATATTAGCCAATATGTTGTGTGGGAAAGGCCATCATTTTGTCTTCATGTGAGGTAGCATTCATAAGTGTCACATGTTTTAGAAATTCAGGTGTGTCTTCTTGAACATTTTTATGTAAGAAGAATTATTCTGTCATGTTAACAGATTATAAAATTATTAAAGCTTCCTGCACAATTCGATGTGCACTTGTGTATTGGAGAGGTCTGGTCACATTACCTAAAACTCACGCGCCCTAATAACAGACATGAAAAATATAGAAAACATCTCAATCTATCTATATCTGTCTGTCTGTCTGTCTATCTATCTATCTATCTATCTATCTATCTATCTATCTATCCAATCTTCTAGTGTTCAATGACTTCCAACACTGTAAAATTGATCTTAGAGACTAGAAAATTTAAAAACCACCATTCTTCATCTGCAGCCATTTAGTTATACATCTAGGTCCTAAGTATTACAATTTTTCAGACTAAGAGCTTTGAAGACAGTCTTTCAAAGAATAATAGGCTAAAAAAGAACCAGAGCCCAAGCAGTCCAAAATCATGTTTCTGTGAATCACCTATCAAAGAGAACCCAACCAAGATCCACTCTGCCCTTCTACAGACTGACAGCTGTGCAATCAAAATTAATTCTGTCACTGAGACAGTCAAGGCAAAGAGTTTTGTCTGCTAATGTAATATGCCATTAAAAAAAAAGGTAATAAAAAGTAGTAAAGGTAAAAAAAAAAGTAGTAATTATTTAATTGCTTTACCATCACATGCCCCAGTAGCAAGATAAACCCCATTTCTTTCAATGGCTGCACAGGTCACCTCAGTATTCAGCCCATGTGCATCTTCTATTTGATATATTTGAGATCCTGTTTCTAGGTCCCAGACCTAAAAAAATAATATTAGTTATTTTTAATACATCCTCTAAAAGTGGTCACACAATGTGTTCTACTGTAATAGGAGAAAGCATGGCCAATAGCAAAATTTTTTACTGAAACACCAGTGTATTTTCCCTGAAAATGTCCCTCTCTCTGGGGAAGCCACTCAGGCAGGGGGAGGCTCTATTTTTCATGTATGCTCTGATAAAGATCCTTGTTAAGTGAGATAGACTGATATTAAATATAAAGTGTTTTTACAGTTTGAAAGAAAAGAAATTTAACTAGAAAGAATTGAGTTATAGTTTCTGTGCAGAATATACAAATGAGGTTTTCCATAAACATTTGGTCCAAAAGCACTGAAACAACTATCTCTGATCATTATTGAATCCTTTTGGAAATTTAAGCAACACCTTTTAATGAAATACCAGTACGAAATTTGGTCTCTGTAGTGGGATGGCTCAGATGCAACTGGATTTGTCAAGTAGCTACTGATTTCATATGTACTGGAATCTGATTTTCTGTAGCACCAAGTGCTCCAAATTATCCTGTGATTGTAATAGTGTTGTAGCCATTGTGGTCTAAGGAAGGCAGGGTTTACAGTGACAAATAACATCTTTGGAGAGAGTATAAACTGAACAAACCATCACACAAGCCTTTCTCCACAGAAATGCCATGCACCACCAACTGACCCAATAAACAGATCCTACCTCTCCCTACAGATTTTGCCATCTAATGTACCAACAGCTGGTGAAAACTACATGTACTCAGTACCTCTTGTGATTATTGTTGAAATGTATTGTAGATTATTGTCGATTACTATATATTATTGTATTTATGTTAAAAAGAAAAGTTGAATCTTCTGAACCCAAATGGGCTCCATGACTACCACTTCTTTGGACCCCAAAAATAGCCACAAAAACAACACTTTGAAAAAAAATATTAGTAACTTATCAAATTTCCTGATAACTTACTCTGAATACAAAGGCTGAGACTTCTATTTTTCAGTATAAAGGGTGAAAACTTACACTCACCTTTAGTATTGACTCAGTGCAAATGCTGAGAATCTGGTGAAAAGTCCTGTTGTAAAGCAGAGCATTGAGGCTCTTCTCATGTGTCTGAGGCAACTCTTTTGAATCTTGTGTCACATTAGCTAGGGGATAAATATCAACGACATCTGAACCTGCACAAGGTGAGAGAAGTGAGAATACATACATTTTGAGCATAATTTTCCTGGAAACTAAAAAGAATTCATGTAAACCATTGGGTTCACACAAGTTCTTCTGAAGAGAATACAGAATATTGTCTGGTTTTTTGAGAACACGTTCTCTGACGCAGAAAACATTCTTACACTGTCCCCAAAAAGTACCAGTCAAACAATAGCCAAGTATTTACCAGTCTTACACAGTCCTCTGCCCACTTGTGATGAGATTGACATCCTGACTGCAAATTAGTAGAAGCCATAAATCCTCTAGTTGCAGAGTTGGTTGACATGAAATGGAATGAACCCAAATACATAAAATTCTAACTTGGAGATCTGTCTCTCAAATAAATTCTGGTTTCTGCTTTCTTAGAGATAAAGCAATTCTATCTGCAGGCAATGATGATGTCTTTCCAGTACCTTCCCTACACAGCACTGCAGTTCTGAATGGTGTTTTCCAAACACCTCCCAGTGCTCTCAGATCAGGGGTTGCAAAGGCAGAGGCAGACAGGGACAATAAGACAAAAGAAAGGACAAGGTCTGCACAGTGCTCTGAAGCCAGAGTGCATATGCAGTTTCCCACTGCAGCTCCAGTATCCCTGCCCTGGTATCCCAGTGGATCTACCAGCAGAGGAGCAGCAGTGAGTCCAGAGCAAAGGAGGAAATTGCCTATTCCTTGGCATAAATCCAGCTCCGGAGGTCAGCAGCTTAGAAACAGGCACAGAAGGAAAGCTATGGCAATACTCAAATGAAGCATGAAGGGGAGCTGTGATTTATGAATGTCAGTGAATTACTAAGCGAAAATCTCCTCTGTGAAGCCAGGTACATAGCAATGAGAATGAATTCACTCACATACAGCCCAGTCTTTTGCCCTCTTCAGGGGCAAGGAAACATTGACTTAGGCTTTTAATGAAATCATTAACACAGTCTAGGACCAGACTTTTACAAATATTTAGGCACTTATAGAACCATTGTTTATAAGGGCAAATTACCTCATTTTGTCAAGGAGTGACCGGTATAAATTCCTGACATTGCTAAGCCTTGACAATCTCACAAGCATAAATTTGAAATGAAGACATTATCTGTATCCTTTAGTGATTAAAAAATTCAGTAGACACCATCAGGTCACTGAAAACAAAATGTTTCACATTCGACTTCTCAGATCTGACAAGCTTTGCAAGCTTTGTGCCTTGTTCCTAATCCAAGGACAGAAAAAGCTGTCTCCAAAGACAATTACCTTATTTTCCTGGTACATGTCAGGTCTCTAAAGCCTCAGAACATGTTCAAAGTTGTCTTTTCAAAGCTGCATCTCAGGGGCAGACAAACTGCACTGATTTCAAGAGTCTCTGCCTTAGATATAAAAAGCTAACATCCTTAGTGACAAATGCAAAGCTCTGGTCCCTCAGAGGTGTCAGACTCCTGGCTACAAAGCCAGGACACACAGCCCAGAAACTCCAGGTTGAGTTCCCACAATATTTTATTCCTAATCAGTTGGGCAGTGTGTCTGTTGACACCTCAGGTTGTAGGGCTGTTTTTAGCCACAGAATTAAATAAGGAGTTTGAATATACTTGGGAGGGCTCCACAGAGATTGAATGCTGCTGTTTTCATCTCTGAACAGGAGGCAGGTCTCACAGGAATAGTTCGGAGGAGATCCATAACTTAACAGCTTTCAAGAAATTACAAGTCTACATAACAATCTGTGTAGTTTAATTTTGCTGTGGGAAGCTCACCTTGCCTTCAGAGAAGCCTTTCTCATTTCCTTTGGTTCCTGCTGTTAATTCCCATGCTGCATATTTTCATGCCATTTTCAGTATTGAAATTGAATATATAACCCACTTTAAGACAGCCTTAATGTGCAATTCCCTTGTCTCCCAGTATTCTGTATATTCTCATATACCTTACTGCTGTACTCAACTTCAGCTGTATTTAATCATAAAGAAAATTGGATTCTAAGAGTTGGGGCATGCTCTCGCACACCAACTGCAATAACATACCTGTGAAAAGCAGGCCATGGTCATTGTCAAATGCCATGGGAAAGGAATTCATCTCTTCTGGAGTTCTGTGAGCTTCATAGAAGACCTGCAGTGGTGAAAGAGTCTGTATATCCCACACTCTAAACACCTAGAGGAGGAGAGAGATGAGAAAATCTAGTGCTGTATCCTGACTGGATTTTCAACTCTTTTGTTTCTAGCACATTAATATTATAGCCTCCAATGAAATTTAATTGTTAAAAATGGTACATCCCAAAATAAGCAAGAAAAATAGCAAAGGTATCTTTATACCCATTTTACTAAGGATAAAATGCACAGAAAGGCTGAATTTTGTAGTCTTCACCTGAGAAGTCCACAGCAGAACCAGATCTCCTAAAAAACTGATTCTACTCCTTAATGACAAGATGTCTCCATTGTGTGCCATACTTTTCTGTAACATACAGATAAATGCCACTAGTTTACAAATTTGTATTTGAACTGGAGTATGAAATGATGTGCAACAGTACGAAGATGAATTTCAGGGGACACTGGAGAAAGAAATTCCTGAAACCTTTGACTGACAGCAGATGTTGGAACAAATCAGGATCAGAGCACGGTGCAGAAGTATTCTTTTTATGCATATAAAGTTCTTGTGCTCTACATAAGGAAATGCCATTGACCACAGTCAGGGTACCATCCTGTAAGGAGCATTAGATGCATTTAGATGTATTTGTTCTTACCTTCAGGTTCAATGGAAAGCACAGCATTTGCTTTGAACTCTAGAATAATTGTATGTTAGCAGTGCTTTTCATCCTGCCTGATCAAAAGCTGTGTTGAACTTACTGCCATCCCATGTCAACTATTTTTTATACTTCAAGAAATCATGATTCAATTTCTCATTGCCTTTAGTATGGCCTTTAGATCCCACGGCCTTTAGTGTGGTGTATTCCTCTGCAAGATCATTTTACTTTGCTCTCAAAAGTTATTCTGTCATTGCATCTGCCTGCAATTCACCTCATTCAGCTGCCATAACTGGTGAATTGTATGTAGGCATTTGTGCAAGTTATTTTATTAATTCAATTGTACTATTATTATGGCTTCACTTTTAATCGGGATTTTAACACAAAGACCCATGTTGGTACAACATCAACACTCATCAATACTCTGAGTGTTGTGGGCCTTGACAAAAGTCGCAACCTGATTTTAAAGGATGTTACAGTGGATCCACCAGAATTGTGAAAAGGAAGAGAAGAAAAGGAATGGATACATCAGTCAGTGTTTAACCACCTTTGGCACCAGAGAGAAATTCATACACAAGTGTTTCAGAATGTTAAGTAGAAGGGAATTTCTCCTTAATATTTTGGGTTTTTTTTCAGGAAAACTCAAAAAGAAAGGACTCTAAAGAACTTTTTACTGAGAATAAATTTTCCCTGAGATAGCACTGAGTCAAAAGAACCATGTCCATCACATTCCTCTGACTGACTTCTGATTACATTTCAGAGTTTACTCAGACATACAATTTCTAAAGCCTACGAAGAGCAAAACAGTCATTGAGAAGCCTTGAAACAGGAAATCCATTTGCATAGGAAAAAATCATGATGCCCTTTATCCAGCTGAACAGTATACCAGCAAAAATTGAAAGAAGGATCGATGATGAGAATTGAGAAAGTTAGGGCAATATCACAGGTGGATCTCCAAGGTCAATTTTGATACACTCACAATAAGAGCATGTAAAACAGGGGTAAGAGCTGAAAATTAAGTAAAAGTAGGTATATGTGGAGATACTACAGTCAGATGAAAATAATAAGTCACTGAACAAAGATAAACTTTCCCATAAGCATTACCCAGATATGTTACAGTGTTAGTGAAATTACACAAAACAAAAATGAAGAAAGACAATTCTAATAGTGTAATGGACTATTCAAGTTCAATTGGTCAAAAAGTGAGACATAGGTTTGATATAATATCAAGGCAATAAAAAAAGATGTTTTTATAGCACAAGAGCATATAAGTAGGAGCTTCCTGTGCTATTTCTTGCTGCTTGTTCAGCTATTAAGGCCAGCAGCATAGTAAGAAAATGCAGTCACTTAAAGTGACAGCAAAAAACCTAGATACATTGCAGCATTCATAAATCTCTTCCCTGCCTTATGGCGGCCTTCTTTTCCCAGCCTGTGGGCAGGGATGAGGAGATTACACAAACATGAGTTCCACATGAGTAACTCCCACACACGGCATCACCAGCGTGGCTGCAAGGCAATATCAGTGCTGCTCATCTGCATCAGCACACAGACTGTGCATGATGAAGCCATGCGTGAAGAGAGGCAACAAAAGGCATGCTTATTTAGAAATTAGCAAGTGGCTAGGGGCAGTTGCCTTAGGAGTGTTGTGTTAATACTAACTTTACTGTCCTACTTATTTATTGAAGAATTTCCCACAGCAGCCTGAGAAATACCAGGAATCCCTGAAAACCTCTGAGAGCATATTCTTGATGGCAAAGTGCTTTTGGACTGTGTCTTCTGAAATGCAAAATACAGACTACATACAAGCAAACAAAACATATTAGGGAGGAGAAGGAATGTGGAAAAAAGGTGCTTCAAATACTATTGGAAACAACCCACTGTTTCAACTTTATAGGGAAAGCTGTGCTGTAATTCCAGCAACATTACTTCTACAATAGTAGCCTACATTAATTAACCAAACTTTGCTTGGTTTAGTTGTCGGCAGAATTGGCTTTGATCCACAGACACACTTTTTTAAGAGTTAGCAGAGCAGGGACACTTGCCTGTGTTCCCACATTGTGACCAGCCTTCTCCACACAGTTGGTATCTGGCACACAGGGGCATTCAAGGAATGCACACTGCATCTCTTTATCTTGGCTGCAACAGCCCCAGAAAACCACTTTATTATCCTCTTCAGGACTGCAATATGGAACAGTTCCCTCTGTTCTCAGGGGCTCTTCTTGTGTCATTCATTTTTCAACCCAATGGCAAAATCACATAGTTACAGATGGAATTTCCACAGACACTGATAAAAAATTTGGAACGAAATCCCCCCAGAATTCAGTGGGACTTCTTGCCACTGAGACCCACTCTGAGCCTTCTGACATCCCCTGAAAAATTTAAATGCCTATATTTGCACTCATAAACATTTTCCACTTGAGCACGACCTTCCTTCACGCCCTAAAACTCAGAACATAGAAAAAAGTCTGAGCAATCTTTTCCATTGGCTCTGAAGCCTTTGTTTTATAAGCATGTAAAACTAGTAACACACCTCTCTTCTATTTTTGTCAATATACTCAAAGACAGATAGAAGACAAAAGATTCATTCTTAACAACTAAAATGTGAAGAGCAGAGGGAAATAGAAAAAATATGAGAAATAAGGCCAGAAAAATTGGTAAATAAATTTTTTACTTGTTCTCAGTACAATAACGTACAGGCTTGGGAACTCTTATCTCTTGCCAGGTTTCTGTGAAGACACTACTGTGGAAACATGCTTTGACTTTGGAAGAAGCAAATCCTGTTCTCCTTTCTGTCTGCAATTAACTGAGATAGATAAGGACTAAAGAAGTTCAGCTTTTGCCCCTCCCCTTCCTCCACCAAAACATAATCCCTTCCAGTTTCTGCTAGTTAAGAATAAGTGGCTTTAAAACACTGTTCTATGGGAAACATCTCAATAACTCTCTAGAGAAAACAGAAACTTTCTTTTAGTCCTTCCAAACTCACATTCTGCTGATACTTTTTGAAAGTTAAAGAATATTTGTTTTTTGAAGAAGTCAACTTTCCTCTGTTTTACAGAATAGTGATACTGAAAGCCTTTAAAAAGACTTATGAAAAAACACTCATGCAGAAAAATCCAAAATCCAACCACTCGTGGGGCAGAAAGAAGTTGTGCTAGCCACAGTATTCATTGTAGGCATAGGCAGGAAGATTGAGGAACAATTGAAGTGGATTTTTTGTTGAAGCATTTAGTTTATCGGCTCCTATTTGCTACCCTGTTCACTTGTTTGAGAGGGTCATTTAAGGCTCCATGGTCTAAATGAAATAATTCACAAATTCATATAGAACGCTGGAGGCCTCAAAGACAAAAATCACCAGGCATGAATGTCAAACTGCAGTTCTGCTTACTGTGTTACCTAAGTTATCTGCAGAGAGTGCCTATATGTGTCTTGTGATCCCTGAAGGTGATCCTGCAAGGTGCTACAACTCCCTGTCACAGTAAGAAGACTTAGGAAAAAATGGATGTCAATGGGATTACTTGTGAGGTTAAGGCAAGGAGGATTTAGTTCTAATCACATTAATGCAATGTGGTGCAGCAGCCAGTACTATATCTACTGCCTTACTGAGATAGCAACTTGACAAAGTACAAAATTATGAGGACTTCAAATCACTTTCTCAGATAATACCATTAATGGGGTAGTATAGAAAATTACTTACTTTTTCCAAACCTGAAGGGCTGCTGGAAAGAAATCAAACTGTTGTATGCAGTAGTGAGTCTAATTACATAGTAATGAGCCTGAAGGATATTTACTGGGTGCTGCTATTGAGAGGGTATAAATGCTCTGCATGTCCTGTCCCTGTACTGTGTGCAGGATGTGCTGACAATAGACATTCCTGAACCCTGCTGCAAAGACAAAATAACACTCAACACTTCTGGAGAACAGCTTCAGTGGATACGTAGATGGTGTGGGGGTCAGAAACAGGAAACTAGAGGTATAGAACAGAGGAGGCTGCCCATGGATAACTGAATCAGAAGAGTTAAAAACCAGTCAGGTTCCTCCTGTCAATCTTCAACCAATCTTAGAATGATTCTCTCACCTTAGACAAAGTTTTTGAAGTAATTTTACTTTTTCATGGAATAACAACAGCTGTGATTGGAAGGGACTTTTGAAGAACACCTTGTCTTATACCATGGTTCATTTAGGCCACATAGAGCAGGGCCATGTCCAAAGGGATTTGAAATATCTCCAAGGACAGAGATTGCACAACCTCTCTGGGGATCCTGCGTCTGTGCTTGGACTCCCTCACAGTAAAGAAATATTTCTTTCTTTGGAAGAAAGAATCTCCTGTTTAAGTATTCATTGTCTTTGTTCTGGTCACTGGGAGTCACTGAAAAGATCCTGATGCCATCTTCTTTACACTCTCCCTTCCAGT